GCCTTTTTGTCTTGTGGTTCGGGAGAAAGAACTTGATGAAGAAGCAGATGCCATTTCCAAAAAGCATTTATTTCATATGCTCATACATTTTATTATTTCTATTATTACTATTCTTTTTTCATTATTATTATCAGTATTAGTATTATCATTATTATTGTTATTATTATTATCATTATTATTATTATTATTATTATTATTATTATTATTATTATTTTATTAATTATTATGATTTAATAATGAATAATAATAATAATAATGATTATTATTATATATTATTATTATTATTATTATTATTATTATTTTATTATATTATCATTTTCATTATCAATATATTTTATTTTTATTTTTTTTTTCGAGAACCCGAAGTGTGACTTTCTCTCGCAGGAAAAATACCTTTGAACTTTGGAACTCGCAATGTCTGTAAAAAGAACCACAATGTGCCAAAGAGAGAAGAAGAATAAAAATAAATAAAGAAAGAAGAACATCAATAATTATGATGTTTATTTGAACATGAATCGTCTTGGCAAAACTGGGAAAAGAAAATTGCTTGTCTTCTATAAATTAGATGATTATGCCATCCTATGATATCGTTTGATATGAAATTTGAGACTTGTTTTGAAGAAAAGGATTTGAAACCTGTGGATTAGCACTGAAAGCATCGAATCAAATAGAGGCGGGATTCTAAGGAAGATTATTTCTGTCTTTGACATGTGTGACAAGAAAGGACTGTCATTGATGAGTGACAATGAATATGTTTTGTTATATTTTTTTCTATTTTGCGTTACGTGACTTCTTTTTGTCATTCGTACGATATATGCTCGAAAATTTAAGAAAAGACGAGATCTGATGAAAAGATGGAATTTGATTATATGAGGAAGAAGTATATTATGAATATAATGAACTAGGGGAGGTGGGGTGCGGGGGTGATATGAATACTGGATTCAAGTAGGTTTTTACAAAGGTTGGTAACACTGTACGAGCAATATTTCGAGCCATGCTGGATTCGAGTAGGTTTTTGCAACGGTTGGTAACACTGTACGAGCAATATTTCGAGCCATGCTG